GTTTCTCTCTCATCGATGTTTCTAACTCTCTATCTCTCTCCCTTCCCATCTGTAAAAAATCAGTAAAAAATATTTTTTTAAAATAAAATAAAATAAAGAGATAAATCTTAAAAAATAAAAAAGAAAAGGTTTGCTCTATTGAATCATAAGCAGGCCGTGTGGATTTCAGCAGAGTTGCAGTTGTTCCTAATGGTCTGTGAACAAATTTTCTTTGAAGCATATTTCGTTCATTGTTGATACATATCAGTGAAATGAGAGGAAACATTTTTCAGGTCCTTATGTGCCTGATAGTGTGTTAAATGCTCTAAAATATCTCATTGAATCCTTAGAAATAGTGCTGAGAGATAATGTCCATTTTATAGAACCTTTTCCTACCCAGCATACATACTTTCATAAGTACTGAAAGAATCCTGCCCTTGAGGCAAAGCAAGTGCCAGGGTGTACTTTCCCAGAATCCGCCCCCGCCCTATCACCCCAGTCTCACCTCCAAACCAGGAAAGTGGTGCAGACCACAGAGTTGTGAAGGAGAGGGAGTTTGGCATCCCTACTTGAATTCAGACATCTAAATGTCCCTTCCCACCAGATGAAGACTAACCTGTTGACTTTTAAAGTCAAGATCCTTTTGCTAAAGTTTTAATTCCTATCATGCTTCAAGTACCCGGGTGGGGTGTGTGACTTTATTAGACACCCCCATAGGACTTACAGAGCCCAGGGGCAGGTGGCAGGGGAGTGGGGCACTGAGCTGAAGGGAACTGCCTTATGTTCAGTTGCTGCAGACACCCTTTTCGTCTCAATACATTGGCCATCTTCCCTCTCATTTGTATAAGAGTCCAGGATAAGCTGCTTCTCTTCTTTTATTTTTCTTTTTTTTTAATATTTTTTTTATTGATTTTAGAGAGGAAAGGAGAAGGAGAGAGAGATAGAAACATCAGTGATGAGAGAGAACCATCGATCAGCTGCCTCCTGCACGCCCCCCACTGGGAATCGAGCCCGCAACTCAGGCATGTGCCCCTGACCGGGATCGAACCTGGGACCCTTCAGTCCGCATGCCAACACTCTATCCACTGAGCCAAACCAGCCAGGGCTGCTTCTCTTCTTTATGGTGTTTTCTTTCTTTCTGTGTCCAGAGCAGGTCCCTGAGCCTAATATCATTTTAATGTAATGTGCAAGAGAAAGTATCAGAGATCGCTTTTGAACCTGGTTTTCTTCACATATTCCCATTCATTCTTCCTACTTTCCTTTGAGCAGGTGCCACCATCCACAACACAATAGTATGATGTAGCTAGCGTCTGACAGACAAGCAATAAAAGTCTTCAATAGTTTATTATTAAAAAAAATCACAGCTTTATCCTGCCAGTGTGGCTCAGTTGGTTGGGGGTTGTCCTTTGCACCACAAGGTTGCAGGTTGGATTCCTGGTCACGGCACTTGCCTGGGTTGTGGGCTCAATCCTCCGTAGGGACATGCAGGAGGCAGCTGATCAGTGTTATGTTGTCACATAGATCTTTCTCTCTCCTTCTACCTTCCTCTCTCTCTCTCTCTCTCTCTCTAAAAAAATCAATAAACTATTCTGTAAAAAAAAAAATAGAAATGAACAGCTTTTACCTGATATTGTTAGAAATCATCTAAACTTTTTAGTTGCTTTAGCTTACAGTTTAGAGTAGATTTTGTAAAGTCACTTAGTCTTAAATTTTAGGGTTTTAAAGAATGATTTTCCTAAAATATATCATATTTTTAAATATTGAAATTTGTATCTATAAGATCTTAAAAACATACAAGTTTTTTGTTGTTTTGTGGAAATGTAAGTACACCAAAAGCATAGGTTGCTGGACCAAAAACTTTAATCTGGCATGGTCATGGAACATGATGGCTGTTAATTAGGCAATTATTTATTGACCATAAATATATTCCAGGCACAGTGGATATAAAAGTACTACACATAAGAGGTGTTCACAGTAGTGAGAACTACAAAAGGTAGACGGGGAACAATATGTGTGGGTAATAAAGTATGAACTAAGTGTTGCAATCAATCAAAATATTCCAGTTAATTCATCATGGCCATTTAGACTCTACATGGACTTCCAAATTTTAAAGCATTTGAATATAGTAATATATACTTAATTTTAAATCTTGCTTGAATAATTTATCAATAATTATTCATTGATAATTTATAAGCACAAAAGGATTTATATAATGTCTAGGAATCATTATTATGAATTTATATAGTGGCTGTCTTTAATACATTGGTCTCATTAATAGAATGCCAAATTTTGAGTTTATTGTGCTTGTCCTCTTGACATTGAAGCCTTACTTCTGATTGCCATTCTAGTTTCTCTCCTTGAATAAAAGCCTATGAACCACTTTGGCCATTCATTCGTCTAGTGGAAATCCACTGAAATGCCCACTGTGTGCCAGGCAGTAGGGGTAACGGTGATGGGTGCTTGTGGTAATGTGCCTTATGTGCTACCAGTTTTTTGCCTATTTTACTAAGTAAGCAGGAAGAATAATAGCCTGTGTTTGTTGGACCCTTGCTATGTGCCAGGCACTGCTAAGTGCTTGATTCATATGACTCAGTTAATCCTCATGGCAACCCTGCAACATAGATTTTCTTATTACCCTTGTTTTATAGAGGTCCCGGTACTAAGAGGTTAAAGAACCAAGGTCATACAGTGGTCAGGGTCAGAGCCAGATTCAGATCCCAGAATAGCACTCCGGAGTGCAGGCCTTTCATTGCCTATGTGTATTATAGGTCATGGGTGCTATCTGCTGATTACCCACAGCTGTAGTTTACCTGTCCAGAGTCTATCATGTTTGAATTTGTTATTGTTGTTTTAGCTATTATTATTGAGATACAATTTACATATCTCTTTTACATTTGACTTCTCCTCACTAACTAATAGGTATCAGAATCTCAAGAGTTATCACTCCTGAATCAAAAAGAGTTGAGCCCTAGTCGATTTGGCTCAGTGGATAGAGCAGCCTGTGGACTAAAGGGTCCCCAGTTTGATTCCAGTCAAAGGCACATGCCTGGGTTGATGGCACGTGGGAAGAAGCCAATCAATGATTCTCACTCATCATTGATGTTTCTATCTTCTCCTTCTTTCCTTCCTCTCTAAAATCAATAAAAATATATATTTTTTTTAAAAAGAGTTGATTCTGGATACTAATTGAATTGTTTTGACTTTAGAGATTTGGTTTCTAATTCTTTTTCAAGTTCTTGAGTTTCTTACTTGTGGAATGATGTTCCTTTTTTCCCCCCTCTAGATTCAGATCAGCTGTTTTCCAAAAATGATTGCAAATGACCAATGTACTTTATTTACTTACATCCTAGGCCACCCAGGGAATGTTCAAGCCCAGGCTTATGAGAAAGTTTCTGACTGGGCTGGTCACAGTTGAAGGGATCCGCCATGGCTGAGTGAGCACTCAGGACATCCATTGGCTTGGGACTGCCAAGTGTGGGAACATAGAGCTGAACAAATAAAACGGTCTTTTTGCTTTCAGGAACTCCCAGCATTGAAAAGGACTTTGAAACAAATAAATGGCAGCCTAGTGTATTAAGTGCAGCAATAGAAATACCTGGATTGAAAGCCTGTGACTTAGAGCAAGTTGTTTACCATCTGTGCCTTAATTTCCTCATCTGCAACATGGGAATATTAAAAGTATCTATCACCCAGCTGGTGTGGCTCAGTTGAGTGTCATCCCATGTACCAAGAGGTTTCTGGTTTGATTCCCAGTCAGGACACATGCCTGGATTGCAGGCTCATCCCCAGGGGCGGGGGAGCGTGCAGTAGACACCCGAGCAATGTTTTTCTCTCATTGATGTTTCTATCTCTCTCCCTTCCTCTCTAAAAATCAACAAAAATGTGTTTAAACAAAAAAAAAAAGAGTATCTAGCCCTAGCTGGTTTTGCTCAGTGGATAGAGCATCAGTCTGCAGACTGAAGGGTCCTGGGTTTGATTCCCGTCAAGGGCACATGCCCAGTTGCAGCTCAGTCCCCAGTAGGGGGTATGCAGGAGGTAGCCAATCAATGATTCTCTCATCATTGATGTTTCTAGCTCACTCTCCCTCTCCCTTCCTCTCTGAAATCAATAAAAATAGATCATTGGGTGGGGGGACGACATATGTACTACTATCTGTAATACTTTAAACAATAAAATAAATTTAAAAAAAGAAGAAAACTATAAATATTTTTTTAAAGTACCTATCTCATAGAATTGTAGTGAAAATTAAGTAAGTCAATATAGGTAAAGCTCTTAAAACCATGACACACAGAAACTACTTTATCAGTATTAGCTTTAACATATACAAAATATGTAAAATATGGAACTAGCACAGAGAATGAAATGATTAATTACATCTTTGGGGAATCAGGAAAGCCTTAGAGGAGTTAGTATCTGAAGTGGGTTTTGAAGGGGTCTAGGAGTTCACTAACTGTCAAGAAGCAGGAAATACAGAAAGAACAAGTGCAAGGGCATTAAGGGAGCAGCCTTACTTCACAGGGTAGTTGGAGTGAGAGTCCACACACACCGTCGGTATAAAATCAATCCCCTATTTGCAACATGTTTTTTCACTTCCAGTGATACATAATGCTCCATGTCTACCCCATTGGGTGTGAGGGTTAGGGAATACTTTAAGTCCTGCCGTCAAGGAGGAACCTTTCTCTAGAGAAAATGTAAGCCAAGAGGATAGACCGCACTCCATCAGATGTTTCCTGAATTTCACCCTGCTGCATCCTCGGCGCCACCCTAGGTGCTGGGGTCGGGAAGCCAGGGGCACCAAGTGAGACTTGGTCCTCATCTTGCATTACACTGCCCAGGTGTCTACAGATTGCTCCTGTCAGAACCAAGTGAGAAGCTGGTCAAGGCCTGTTTACAGTGTTAGAGGGCTGCTCTTTTGCCTTGAGGAATTCTAGGATTAACAGGTAAATTCTATCTCCAAAAGGGAAGAGATGTGTATAAAGATGGAGGCCTTGAATTGTATCCACCAGGAGAAGTCCACAAAGCCAAAAATGGAGTGAGTCATACTCCCACAATAAATGTGGGAAATGAATATCACTTCTTTGATTTGCTAAATGCTTGAGAAAGCAATTTTGAATAATTATTTCCTACAGTAGTAGAGAGGTAAGAGACCTGCTGTTTTCAAAGCAGAGAAAACCAAGGCAAGTTCCTGACCCAGTCACAATGGAACTGTTGGAAAAGCTGAAGCTAGAACTCATGTCAGCTTGAGCCGAAGCTTTCTAGTGTTGCTAGCCCAGCAGCATGCACTTTCTCAGGTCTCCTGCCTTATCTCCATGGAGCCAGGATCTGAGAGGAGAGCAAGTGGGCCAGCCTCACAGTGAACCAGGCAGATGGGCCTGTTCAGTTGCAGCTTCTGGAGCTAGTGAGTACTTATTACTCACCCAGCTTTATGTCCTCTGAGAAAATAAAACCCTTAATCACCTTCAGACAGCATTGGCAGGTGAAGCCTTAAAAATGTCAAACAGTCAGCTCGGAAATCACATTTTGTTAACCACCCACACAGAGATTCATCTGAAAGTCTACAGACCTCAGCCTGCAAGCTTAGTGTATTGCAATGAAAACATCTCTGCTTTGTGGATGTCTCAAGGAGCATGCAGTTGAAAATGGATACCAAGGAATCGACTGGGAGAAGAAAGAAGAGAAAAACAAGATTATTTTAAGTAACTTTTTTTAAGCACTTTTCATTTGGGCCCAATTGGTTGATTTCCTCAGAAAAAATAAGAGTATATCTATCAAAGCTAGAGCATCACACGTGCTAGAAAAGACAAGTGAAGAAGCCAGGAAGTTAGAACTGGGGTTCACATTCGCCATCGTGTCTAATACTGACTATATTTTTGCCAGGTTTTTTAGTCAGTTGCTATCACCAGTAATCTGGGATGGAGAAACTTGTGGTTTAGGGGAAGTGGCTGAAGAGGGGCTGATTAGCAGAAAAGGGTATCAGTACTTGTTGAGAGATTGGTGATGATCTTTAATGTCCTTCTGGTTTTAAGGTTCTGTCATTTGCCCTGGCCGGTGTGGCTCAGTTGGTTGAGCATCATCCCATGCACCAAGAGGTCACTGGTTCAATTCCCAATCAGGGCACATGCCCGGGTTGCAGACTCAATCCCCCGTAAGGGGTGTGCAGGAGGCAGCCGATTGATGTTTCTCTTTCATTAATGTTTCTCCCTTCCTCTCTCTAAAATCAATAAAAATGTATTTTAAAAAAAATTTTTAAGATTCTGTAATTCTAAACCGTTGATCTGGCCAAACTTGCCTGTCAGTCTTGCCCATCCCACACTGGAAAGGTGTTTGTTTCATTATTCTCACTAGGGGCTTCTACTCGTGGCACAGGCCCAGCTGCAACTCACGCTGACTCATACACATCAACATCCTGCTGTTGACAGGATGGCAGGCACTAGACAGGCGTGTTCCAGAAAAAAACATTGAACACTTGACTTCGTAACATCACCTGCCGCCTGCTGCTAGTCCTCCTGCTTCCACACGCTCTTGCATGCACCCTGAAGTATTTGTCTATCAACATTCTTTACTCCATCCTACTCAGGGTTCTCAGTTGTAAGAGGGAGAAATCCACTCAAGTTGACTCAGAGATAGGAAGGACAGCCCTCCCAGGGACTGGCCCTTCCCTGCCTCTCTCAGGCGCTGCTTGGTCTTTGTCATTGGCCTGCCTCTGTTCACCTACTTTCTACTGTTCTCTGCAGATTGGCTTCCTGGTTCCACACAGTTCATGTTCCCCATAACTTCAGCATGCACTTTGCTTTGTCTTGACACAGCGCCAGCTCTGGCCTCAATTTTATATCACTTTTCAGCTCAGCTTCCCACAGCTGACTGACTCTAATTCTGGATCTCAGCTCTGGATTTCCCAGAAGAATCTGATTGCTGCCTTAGGGCAGATGTCCACACCTAATCTGGTCAGTGAAGAGAAGCATGTATGGCCACAGAGGCCCCCTCCAGTGGTGGCTATGGCTGTAGGGGGCAGGAGTGGTTCCCAAGGAAGGGCTTACGTCTGGGAGCACTCCAGAAAGAGACCGCCGTACCCTCCAACTGAGCCAGTTATTCCCAGATGTGCAATACAGGTATTCTGAAGTCACATTTTGGTAACCATCAGGCCATCATTCCATTGTATTCCTCTCTAATTAAGAAACCTGCAACTAAAGAGATAGTAAGAGTACTAGGGGAAAGGTTCACCAATGAATTTCAAAGAAATGGTGAAAACTCTGAGGAAAAGGCCCTCCAGTGATTCCCATGTAGTGGTAGAAGAAGAGTGCTCAACCAATAGAAGAAAAAAGGATCTGGTTTATATACAAGTTCAGCCTATAAAGGGCTAATGCACTGGGTGCATAATAAGATGCAAGAGACTAAATTGCAGTAAAAGCAAGAGTTAACCTACCATTATACACACACGATTAGCAGCAATTTTAAAGGATTTGATTCCCAGTTCTAAAAAGGCTGAAATAATGTGTTAACTTACACACTGCTATGTGCACTGAAAAAGCACTTTGAGCATCTTGGAGAACTTAACAGTAATTTCTGTCCCTACTCTACAGACACAAAAACACAGGTACAGAAAAGGTAAACCATTAACATCGCCGCCTGCTAGTGACAGAACTGGGCTAGTGCATATACACTCCCAGCCAGGGTCCTATCCAGCCTCAGGGTTCTCAGCCTGTCTGATTATCGGAACCATATGGGTTGGGTGGTAAAATGGAGACTACTAGGCACTACCTGAAGGCACTAAACATCCCTTGGGAGGAGGCCCTACTTCTATCCTAATATATAAAGAGCCAGGGTCCGTCACGACCAAAACGACTGGACAGGTGACCGAACAGTGGGCCCCAGGCCGCCGGGCTTGGCGGCAAGAAGGGTCTGTGCACCCCGGGCCACTGGGGCATGGTGGCGGAAGGGATCTGTGCACTCCGGGCCACTGGGGTGTGGCGGCGAGAAGGGTCTGCAGGCCCCGGGCCGCTGCAGCGCTGCGGAACTCTGGGTCTCGTGCAATTGGGGGTGTGGCCGCCTTCAAACCAGACCCTGACAGGCGGGAGGAGGGAGCCCCATTCCTCGCAGAATCAGCCATTGATCAGCTTGCTGTCAGTGGCCTGCCAACCAGGAATCCCATTGCCCTGCACCCCGGACCCTAAAATATTTCCTCAATTAATTCCCTTTGAACGTGCACGAATTTTGTGCACCGGGCCACTAGTATTTTTATAAAGCTCCACAGTTCTGATGATCAGCCAGGTCTGGAAACAATTGCATTCACCAACATTTTCAACCAGAAACTAATAAAGGGTGGACGTGTTTTCCTGGCCATGAACAGCCTGAAAAGTATCAGGCTTTTCTGGAAAACACAGTGGTATCTTCCTTTTACACATCACACTCCATGGCCTGTGCTGAGAACTCGGAATGAATCCACGCTGACACTGTGACCCGGACCCCTTGTGAGAAGCCCCTGCCCTCATCTGAAGCCCAGCGATGTGAGTACTTATCCCCAGCAGGGACTGGGAGTGTGCTCTGGGGAGAGTTTGTAAAGTGGCTCAGCGCCTGCCACATAATATGTTTAATAAGTGTTTATTGTTAACTCTCTTTCTGGAGCTACTGTCACTGATGATAAGATAACTTGAATTTCACATCTTTTATTTCC